TGATAATCAAATATCATGATATAATATGTATTAGGTATTTAGCTGGACAGGTCAGTGGTGGATCCGGAATGGCGAATAGGGGGCATTTGAAATCCCTCCTCCAATGGCCGTAGTTTCCATATGTCTTACACTCTGTTTTTTCCACAGTAATGTAGTATGTAATATGTATATATAATACTATCACTATAGTGATTACTGGTTCAAATAAGGAATTAAATGTAAATAGATTTTAATAGACATAGACCGTTTTACCAATATATAAAAATTAAATAGGTTTTTTACAATAACTCCATTTTTTTATTTACTAAAGAGTTTAATCAAATTCTGATTTTTGGCATTTTTGAATACTTACCATTTTCATAAAATTCAACAGCTTTTTTAAAATAAGAAAATGGTTTTTCAACTACAATACTTGGTAAGATATATTGTAATGAAGTTATAGTTTCATTGTGAGGTATAAATCTTTCATTTAATGCCATCATCAAATCGTCCAAGTACGGTATAAAAATAGATTTTTTGTAATATTCTTCAATGTTGTTAGATGGTACATTGCTTCTATTTCTTTGACTGCTACAAACACGAGGCATTTCTGGCTCAATATTTAACTTTTCAGCAACATCTTTGGCTTCTTTATAAATATTGTTAAATTTTAAATCAACGTTGTACCGAACTCAAAGATATAATCGTCATTGACACATTATAATAATATGAATAACTTGTTCGTTCTTTAATAATTCTTTATAAAATTATCAATATAATTTTATAAAGATTTTACTTTTACGATTTTAAATCTAGTAGAACATAATAAGTAGACTTAATAAACAATTCCAGATTTCGGGGGGGACTGAAGCCCCCTCAGCCACCCCCATAAATACGCCACTGGGGTACCTCATGGTAACGGTACGTATTTTTCGTCGAATTATTTCATATTTATATTATGTATTAATTGTTATATGGATGGCGGGGCTATGACAAACCAGTACCGTATATTATATCGTGTAACGAGCTTATTAGCCCAGTAAACCAGAATAAACAGTCTTCAAACAGTTATCATCACGATTTATAGATCTTAAATCGCGGTTATCATACATGCATTGTGTGAGGCCTTGCACCGCCTGCACACGCGGTTGTTGGGGCACTGGCTACTTAAATACTACAAAACAAACGGACATTAATTGTTTGAATTGCGTCCCGAGCCACCAGGGTCACATGCCGTAACTCTGCCGTTCTCGATGAGCAGCCGCCCGAAACACGGCGGCAAATCGGAATGGGGAGGCCTTAAAATCACGGAAACAAACCACCGGAATAACGAAATCACAGACTTATGACTATTATTATAATACATCTGCGTATTATAAAATGGCAAGGACTTAAAACAAATTAAAATACATATTTATGAAGTATAAAATGCATTGAAAATTAAACCAGAATAATTTGTATGGAACTTAAAATGAATGAATAAAATTAATTTGGAAAATTAAATTCCGGGTTGTAAAATTACTAGAATATAACTTTGTGTAGAATATAATTGAAATTTTAGTTTACGGAACATTATAACGAAAGAAAGTAATAAGAGTATAAGACCGAATGTCAATTTTCCGGAATTAAATAACTCTGACTTTAAAACGCCCGGAAAGCAAAATTTCGGAATGTCAATAAAATCCAGGAAAAAAAACCACAGGAATTATGAAATCACGGACTATAATGTTACAGTATTATAAAATGGAAACATATTAAAAGAGATTGAAACTTATTATTTGTGGAGTATAAAATGCATTTAAAACAAAATTCTGGACCGTAAAATCAACGGAATTTAAATATATTGACTATAAATAATCTGGATTTAAATCATTAGGTAAATATTATTAACATAACTACAAAATATGTATATTATATAAATGTATAATACCTAGAATAAAAACTATTATTTTGAATTTAAAATTATGCAAAAAATATTTACATAAATACTTTTTTAAATAATAGTATAATTTTTATTTATTTAATTTAATATCATACATACATGAGTACTGGGCCACACTGAGAGAACTCGTATGTGGTTCCAGCTGGAGTTCAAATGTATTATGGTTCCATTTAAATTACAGGTAATTATATTTTTTTTTTTTTTTTTTATTTTTTAAAAGAAATATACCATCTGTACCCAGAGACACAATAAGTATATGGGCTGATATACAAAAAGGCGTGAATGATTTGTTGGAAGAAGCCACCCAGTAGTGACACTTCCTATTGACTTTTATATTTTTATTTATTTATATTTTTTTTTTTTTTTTTTTTTTTTTTTTTATTAGTTAAGGAGATCTCTGCACCATTTTCTTTTTAGTCGTCGATGAGGATTACCAGGAATTTCGTTTGAAGCTAATTCACGGATTAATGGATTTGTGTGGGATATGAGACGATCATGGAAACGTTTATAGAAGTGTTTTGCTTCTTCTTGGACAGTTCTTAGACGGAGATCAGTGTGGAGGGTGAGATTTGATATGTAAGGGGGAGATTTTGTAATTTTTCTAAGTGTAATGTTTTGAAAAGTTTGAATTTTTTTAAGATTTGAGATTTTGGCATTGCCCCAAAGTTGTATGCCATAGGTCCATATAGGTTTGAGAAGGGATTTGTACAATAGTAGCTTAGTGTTTAAGTTTGTGTGTTTATTGTTAATAAGGAGTGTTTTAAGCATGCGTAGCCTGGAATTCAGCTGTGAGCGTTTAGTTTTAATATGTTGTGCCCAAGTGAGACGGCGATCGAGTGTTAGCCCGAGATATTTAACCGTAGGGGTTGAGGGAATTTGGATGTTATAGAGAGTTACCGCCGGACATTGGGCTTGTTTAAGGGTGAAAGTTGTATGAATAGATTTGGATTGATTGATTTTAAACCGCCATTTCCTGTACCAGTCCTCCATTTGGGAGAGATGATTTTGAAGATAAGTGGAAGCTAAAACAGGGTCTGCGCTAGTTGATATTATAGCTTTGTCATCTGCGTAGTCCGCCACTAAGGTATTGGGCATAGTGGGTTGGTCTGAAGTATAAATATTAAACAAAACTGGGGATAGAATTCCTCCTTGCGGAACGCCAGCTCTAATGCCTGCTATACTAGAATATGCAGATCCATGACGAATTCTAAAGTAGCGATCTTCAAGATAAGATTTAGTGAGAATGTAATATGTTGGGGGTATGCATTTCTTAAGTTTGGATAGCAGCCCTTCATGCCATACTCTATCAAAAGCTTGCGAGATGTCAAGGAATGCGCATGTGCAAAATAACTTTTTTTCTAACGCAAAGGTAATAGCATCAACAACCCTGTGAACTTGATGAATGGTGGAATGCTTGGCGCGAAAGCCAAACTGATTGTCCGGTAATATATTATTTACATTTATGAAGGGAAGAATGCGTTTGAGTATGAGTCTTTCCAGAACTTTGGCAAAAAAGGGGAGCAAGCTAATCGGTCTATAGGAAGAGAGAGAGTCAAGGGGTTTGCCTGGCTTTGGAATTAGGATAATTGTAGAAAACTTCCAGATGAGAGGAAAATAGGAGAGCCTCAGAATCGCGTTGAATATATGGGTTAGTAAGATTATCGCACGTTTGGGTAAACATCTAGCCACTTCAGCTGTGATAAAGTCGAAACCCGGAGATTTTTTGAGTTGGTATTTTTGAATCGTGAATTTGACGTCATTTGGTGTGAAGTGTTTCTCTGGGAGGGTAAGTGAAAGTGGAGAGTTGAGGAAAGCTTGGACAGTATTTACGTTTTCAGGTTCAATTATATCTGGGTGAGGTTGGAAGATTTCGTAGAGATGATTTTTAAATAATTCAGCTTTCTCGAGATCAGTTGAAGCAAAACTGCCGTCAGTTTTTCTTATTGGAGGGATTGCAGGATTGTGCTGAAGTATTTGCTTGGTTGTTTTCCAAAGACTTCCATCTTTTGTCGATAGGTTGGATAGGTGATTCGCAATAGAAAGGGATTTGTTTTTTGCTAGAATTTTTTTAAGTGAGTTGGCCAGACTATTATATTTTTGTTTGTGAGATGGGAGGTGGGTTCGTTGATAGAGAGCTCTGGCTCTCCGTTTTTCAGCTATGAGCATACGTATGTGATTTGGTAGTGGGAATTTGTTTTTGGAGAGCAAGTTTGCATTAGCAACTGAGTTAGAGGACCTGGCCGCGGATTGAATTAGATTTGTGAGACTATTTACAGCTGAATCAATATCGTCATTCGTTTTTAATTTAACATTTAGTTTGATTGTCTGGTTAACTATATCATGGAATTTGAAGCGATCAGTGGAGGTATTAAAAAGGGTAGGAGGTGTTTCATGAGTTGAGGGGTAGTCATTAATCGTAAGGAGAACTGATGAGTGATCTGAATTTAGATCAAGGATATTATTAGTAGTGCAGTATAAACTAGAGGGAATTTTCGCGACAAATATATCGAGAATATCCGGACTTTTTTGAGGGGAGGTAGGCCAGTAGGTAGGACCTGGGGGAGCTAAAATTTTGAAATTTTTTGTGGATACGAAGTTGTGAAGGACAATACCTCGCGGGTTATTTACGCGGCAACCCCAATTTTGATGTTTTGCGTTGAAATCGCCACCAATAATAAAATTGTTATTGATTGTTTTGAAATAATTCGCGAAATGTTCACTATTGAGATTGTGTCTCGGGGGAGAGTATAAAGCTGCAACCGTTATAGGGATATTGTTAAGATGAATTGTTACGGCACAGGATTGAAGAAAGTCTTGGCAAAAATTGGGGAGGGCTTGAAATGCTATTGTTGATTTTATAAGAATGGCTACTCCACCATGAGCAGTGTTGTCTGGGTGATTTGTTTTAAGTAGTTTGTAACCTGGAATGTAAATTTGTGAGTGTTGGGTAAAATGGGTTTCTGTTATGAGGGCCAGGTCAATTCTTTTATCATATAGGACAGTTTGTAGTTCGTTTACGTGGTTTTTTAAACCATTTGCATTGAACAATAGTGTTAGGAGGGATTTATTTGTGAAAGCATTATTCATTTTTTTTATCTAAAAGACTGGAAATGACTTTCGTGAGAAGAGAGATTAGAGGATTTATAAGAGTTTTGAAATCTTCTAGGAAATTTGTAATTGTAGAATTTATATTAGGGGCTGATTCAGGTGTCGGAAGGTTTTGTGATTGGCCTGCAGTAGCCTGGGCGTAAGATGGTGAGAGATTTGGAGGAGTACCATTTTCTGGGTGGCTAACTTGTACATTATGAGACTTATATCTAACATTATCTGATATGAAAGCATTACTTGCGACTGGTTTCTTGCGGCGCTGGAGTTCTTTATAAACGCTGCAACCTCTGTAGTTGGCCGGGTGGTCCCCAGAGCACAGCGCGCATTTGGCTGGTGAATCTCGAGGTTTGGAGCATTCTGAGGATGGGTGGAAAGCACTGCAACGAACACAGCGAGCAGAATACCCGCAGTAGGCTCTTGTGTGGCCGTACTCCTGGCAGTTGAGGCACTGGCTTATAACTTTAGGCTTATATGGTTCCTCGACTTTGACTTTGGTATGCAGCAGAGAAGAGAGTTTGAAAATATCGTTCGAATAGTGAGTTGGTTCAAGGTCAACGAAGAAAAGAGGTAGTGGGCATTTGCTGGTCTTATGTAGTACGTTTGTGACTTTCCTTACCTCGAAAAGACGCAGTTCTAATTCGCTTTTTATAAGATCTGTGGATGTAGTCGGGTGGAGGTTACGGATAACGGCACGCGTCGGCTTATCTTCTTTGAGTTGAAATGTGTGATATTGGGCTTTTTTTTCCTTTAAAAAATGGATGAGTGTTCTGTAGGATTGAGGGTTGGAGGTTTGAATTTTTAAGCTGTCAGTCGAGGATTTGCAAACAAAGTTATCTACTCCAATTATCTCAATTAAAGATGAGCATAGGTCTGGAAAGTTTATTACACCTTTTACAAAAATTGGCGGTGGTAGTATAATTTTGTCTGCAATGATAGGTGTTTCAGGTATTTCAGGTGGTGAGTTGGTGGATTCAGTTTGCGCTAGCGGTTCGTACCGATTTGCAGTTATAAATAGTTTTTGAATTTTTTTGCTTTGATCATGATTCGGAGAGCTCGGGTTTGAGGAAGATGACAGATTCCTTTTACCGGGATTTGTTGTCCAGTCTGAATTTGAGGGGGAGTTGGACGAGTCATATTCAAAAACCGTGTCATTTGAATTTGTGGTGGATTTTTCAAGGCGAGCTGCCTGTATAACGTTTTTAGAATTTTTACTATTTTTACCTTTTCCGGTTTGCGGTGTAGTTTGAGAGTGCGGCATATTATCTCAGAGCAAAGGTCGTGGGACGCTGCCCGTGACAGCGATAACGCGACTATTATTTAACAGTGATTGTATTTTTCATACAGAATTTTTGGTTAATTTAAATGTGAATTTACACAGTTAACGCAATTTACGGGTTTTAAGTTTGAATTCACTTTGATTAATTGATAGCAATTTCCATTTGTCTATTTGTACATATTAAATTTGTCACATTCGAACTGAAAAAATAAGCGTGAACGAAACAATTGACGGAGCGTAATTAATTACGTGCGCGCCGAACAAGGTGCAATCCGCGACTGAGGTAATTATATAAAAAAAAAAAAAATACGTAAATTTTATTATTTTACTGATTGAAAATTCCATATTTAACTTTAAGTCTAATCCCTATCATTAGGTATTGGAATTGAAAATTGTATTACAACAATATTAGAGACGAAAGGGCAATTTTTATTTTTATTGCTAAACATCGTTGTATGCTTTATGTGATGGATTATAGACTAAAATTCGGTATACAATAAATTATACATCATACGAAAATATTTGTCGATTGATTTACGACGAATCAATACCATCTTTAGACAAACTAAAATTTCTTTTCATATTTCAAACGTCCAGATTGGTACATCACTACAAAATTTGAATGTTTAAATAGTGGTGCCCTATAATGGCATAATGCAATTAAATTGCTCAATATCACCTAATTATTATACTCGTAGTGTTATAGTTAAGTAACCACACAGTAGGTCCATAGATCATAGTTTGATTAATTTGTAATTTACACTTACCTTGAGGTCAACACTCAACTGAGAGTACCTACGTAATAATATAGAAAATGGTACCAGGCCACTTATTGATTATACATTTATACACATGTTATAATTTAGGATAGTGCTTATAATATAATATTATGTCGACAATTGTGTAACTGTGAAGTACCCACATAAAACTTTACGGGTGATCGTACGACAGACATTGTACCAACACATATAGTTTATATTGAATTCATCGTTTTTAAGAACAAGCCAATAGGCAATAAATATTTCGATAGATAAGTACCTAGGTACTTAATACTTATAGATGCCTACCTCTTTTGATTCTATATTAAATGTATGTATATAAATAAAGATCAAAACTCGATGTCTTCATTTAACCAAACTTTAACTCATTTAAAATATACAGTAGATTCTCGTTATGTCGAACCTCAAGGGGAACAGAAAAAGTTCGAGATATCAAAAACTTCGAGATATCGAGTTTTATTAAAAAATAAAAAAAACTAATATAAATGTATGTTGTATAATTTATATGAATAATAAATAATACGAATGCCTAAAATACATAATTTGAATAATAAAAAAACTAATATAAATGTATGTTGTATAATGTATATGAATAATAAATAATACGAATGACTAAAATAGACTAAAATTTGAATAATTAAAATACTGAAATGACAATTCCTATGTTATCCGTAACAAAAATATTATTTGTGAACTCGAGATAACGAAAAACGATTAATTTTATATCGAGTTATCGAGAGCAAAACACTATTAAGTGTATTTAATAGTAGTTTCTAGGGGAATTCAAAGTAGTTCGAGATAACGAAAAATTCGAGATAGCGACGTTCGACATATTAAGAATATACCGTATTATAATTTTATACTCGTACATTTATAGCTATAAATATCTAATTTGAATTATTTGTTAAGGGGTCACACCAACATTTGTTTTCTTTGTCTAGCTCGCGCTTAACATAGGAACCTAGAAATAATTCAACGTAATTTTGCGGGAATTAAATTTTTAACTAAATTAAATAATTGGCACCTAAAACATTAAATGCTAATTGCCTCTTAGGTCCGCTAGGGGTCACCATCGCTCCTGAGTTGGCGGCCGAGGCGAGCTATTTGGATAAGTAACCGATTTTCGACGACTGCGCAGGCTGTCCTAAGACGGAAGCCACATATTTCTAATTTATTCGTATGCTGTCAGTCGCTCGTACGTGACCTCAGGGCCATCACCTTTTGTTATCAAGTTATCTGTTGGTTACCAATTAATATTACCTACTTTATAAACTTTTTTTTTTTACCAAATGGTTTCTTACGAAAATCGTTTGAAGGGCTTATTCAAAAAAATAAAAAAAAGTTGTATCCACAGTGACAAGACACAATTTTAAATTCTCCATTATTTGATTCGATTTTATATCCAAAGGTGGGCATTCACTGGTTAGTTAATTTTCTAATCAACTCACGAATTTAACTAGTTTAATTGACAGTTTAAATGACTTAGCTTTCCTCAGTTTATTTAACAATAATCAGCATAAAGTTAAACATTTTTGAAATTTTTCGTTTTTATGTTTTTATACGTAAATATTAATACCAAAATAAAAATAATCCAATTCTATAATAATACAAACATTTCTATTATTTTTACTAGATAAAGTAATTTTGTAAATAGATTTATGTTATACAGTAGATTAGATACGCATAATTAATAAGATTATAATATAACCTTAAATTTGTATTTGGTATATAAAAAATAATATTTATTAAACTATTTATTGTGATGTGTAGGACATAGGTATTTAAATATTTAATAATCATGTAAAGTAAAATAGGTAGGTATAGACACTGAACATTACGATGAAATTCAAATAACATTGTTTATTAAAATAATTTAGGAAATTAGAAAGAACGCAGTCACTAATTATGTGATCCACATACTAATTTAAAAAAAGAATATTAACTTTTTTTAAACTGAGTTAAGTTAATATTTTGTCCCTATTAACTTTTAACTTATCGAGTTAAATGTATATGATTTGTTAACTGTAAACTGTCAACTTATCGATCATGTCCCCGCTTAACTTAACTTAGCCTGAGTTAATTGTTTTCGTTATCTTTCCCACCTTTGTTCATATCCGATGGATATACTTATTGTTCAGATAGATAGCTAGATTAAATATTTTAGAGATTTGCAATACACCATATGCTTGTTATTATGAGTAAATTAGATCTTTATCCTGATTGTTACATCAGATGGACCATGAAAATCATCTAATAAAATTTCTTTTGAAAAGCTCGGAAAACATTCTGAAACAGATTAAACAATTTAAAGCTTTCTATTACAATGAATTGTAGAGAGATTAATTAACCTATTGAATGTATTATAAAAAATATATAATCGACTAATTTTATAAATTAACTATCGTTTATGAATACTAGTAGGTACCTATTTATAAATGTATAACACTAGTTATACCAAGTAAGATTTAAAGGGTGCTAATAGTTTACTTAAAAAGTAGTTTAAAAAAAATATTATGATCAATGGTAAACTGTAATACAGCAGTTCTCACCTTTTTATATCCGCGTACCACCTACACAGTTTAAAAATTGTCATGTACCACTAGATCAAATAACGTTTTTTTCCTTATCCAAACAGTTATTTTACATGTATGCGGAATTTTATTTTTATTAAGAACTACAAAAAAAAAATAATAATAATAATAATATAAGCATTTAATGCATAAAAAAAAATTAAATGTGTAAATTATTATTTATATTATTATTAAATATATCAAGTATACCAAATAATTTCTAATATAAACGATCCATTCCATTTTTTTTTTTTATTAAGGTAAAAGGGAGATGTTCTAATTTAGTGTTGCCACCTATGAGCTTTCCACGTACCACAGGTTGAGAAACGCTGCTGTAAGAGGTAGCAATAGACAAAAGTGTTCCTTTCCAAACTACAAAGATGTTTTTGTAAGCTTGATATTGTAAAATACACATCGTTTCTCACCATTGCTTTAAGGAGTGAAGACACTTAGACACATAATTTCGGTGGACTATAGTCGTTGATTTTGCTTACAGTTTGTTTTTGCATAATTAATATCAACTAACTTGTAAGCTGTAACTATTTGCAACATGCATCTCACAAGATATTTATAATGAATGGGCCAAAGTACACTGACTGACCGATATGACAGAGTTATGAATAAACTAGTACCTACAATAAAAAGTCCACTGAGTAATGTTTTTAAATAAAAATAATTTCTAATTTTTAATATTATTAACTACAAGCAATTTGGAAAATTTTTACTTTGATAAAATTTAAAATAAAAAAATATAGATTTAAAATCTATCAGCTATTCCAAGCCATTGTTCAGGTGTAGGTCTTGGAATTTCTGTAGGCTGTAGAATTTTCCAAATAATAGCATTGCAGGTCTCCCTAACAATTTCTGCAATGGTACTTTTACCAACGTGAAAATCAAATTGTAGAGCTTTGAAACAAGTCCCGGTCGATAGATACCTGAAAACAGTATTTGTTGACAATATTTATTTATGTTAAAGTAAAATTAAATTATAATATACCACAGTTCAGAATTATACCTATTTATGACTATTGTAGATATCAGTTTTTGATAAGCTAATATCGATTCTATCGTTTTTATCAACAAATTATAGCTTATTTTTTCATAAACCTTTTTTATCAATTTCAACATAAAAAAGTGGGTAAGTGGATGTCACTCTGCTGTACATTATTGGGTCGTAGAGTAGCTCACTATAATGGATGTGTTAAATTTGAATGAAATGATAGGTACCTATATTTGTTTACGAAAAACGATTCTGAACGGAGATGATGTGTCAGTCTATTATATATTATTAATTATTATATTACCTATATTTAAATTGTAATATACATTTTGTCGAAATTTAAAATTCAAACACTTATAAAAAAAATTGTGCCAATGTATTTTGATCTTTTTTAATAACTCATAGATTAACTTAAGTAAAATCTTCTATTAAATTTTCAAGTATTTTTTAAACGACATTTATAAAAAAAAAACAATAAAAAAATCAAATATTTAAAATGCCTATAAATAGCTGAAAAATCAACGAATTATTATGAAAAAAAAAAAAAAACCTATCCAGTCGGGGGACTGCCGGTAGAAGTGAAAACTTCTTAAGCACGTTGGGCACCCCGTAAGAAAGCATTTGCGGGTGAGGAAAAAAGTATGAAATCGCGACACCGCCACCGCCACCGAGAGTACATGTATATAATATATACTGTGGTATATACTGTTATACTTAAGTGTGAACGTGTATGTGTATATGTTACCGTCAATGTCATAAATTCAGGTAATGATGATATTGACTAGCCAATTAATATAATGCCTTGGTAACTTGGTCATTATCTATAATCAACATATATTTGTAACATTGACTTGATAAATCAGACGATGTTATAATTTGATAGATTCACTAGTTATTATAACATATCCTATCGTCGTGTAGTCAATGTTATCTTTTATAGTTTTAACTTTAAAAACCCACGTTAAGATCAGGTATCTGTTTTATAACGAATAATAATAGGTATCTTTTATAGTATTAATACTCACGGCAACTAACCTATAACATAAGTATTGTTACAGTCTACGTTGTACTTTCGTATAATATAGTTTATAGTTTCGTATAGTTTTTCGTTTCGAAGTGTTGAATTGTTTTATTAAAAAAATGAATTCAAATGAAATGCGTCAAAAATTTTACAACGCATTATCTGATTTATTGAAAAATAAACGTGAAGATAATATATCATTTTTAAACAAAGAGGAATATATGTTTCTTATATTTTTTTTTCATTGTTTTTCTTAAATAGTAAATATAATATATTATATCTAAAATTATAAATGGCTAAAATTCGTAGTTATACAATATGGAAAGAGAGAGAAGAAAAAAAAGAAAACAAAGTTATAATAATATAATATCATAAAGTTAAACCTAAGTTACATTTAACGATACATGCAGCCATTCAATAATTAATTTTTTAGCATTATTATAATTATAATTAATATTAACATTTTTCTTTATAGAGAAAGGCATAGAATTATAGTAAAAAGGACCAAGAAAATCAACAAATTTTTGACCAACTGATTTTTTAAAAAGTGATGTTTTAGCATCAAATGAACGAAAAGCTCTTTTTTTACTGAAAACATTTTTGTCAACCCACTGATCTAGGTGTTTAACCACCCACAAAATAGCCATTTTTTTGAATAAAAGTTCAACTGGTAATACATTGAGCTCCCTAAAGTTATGCTTAGTTGATCCAACATAGTGTGTTTTTTGTAAACATACGCGCACTATCTGACGTTGATGAAGCAATAAAGGTTTCAGAGCGTTATCCGAGAGTCCTCCCCAGATTAACAGACCATATTGGAATATAGCTTGATATAGATAATACTATACATAATTATTTCAGTTATTTTGCAGGCGGGCGTTGTTGTTTTCCAGTAACTGCCGCCTGCTGCGCGCGCAGCTTTGATACACTAATGTAGCAACACAGTATACAATTTGGTCATTTTACATAATGCCCGGTCATTATGTAAAATGACCTTCATATATTGGGCAATATAGATAATACTATGTAATTGTAAAGTATAAAGCATTTTATTCATTATGTAATATATTTTAACTTTATAAACATGATAAATATTAACTAGGAGGTACCTATACTAATAAGTAATATTATATTTTATGGAGGGCCGTAAAAAACGGGAAATTATTTTTCGGGAAAATTAATATCAGAACGATGATTTATATGAACCATATTTTTCATTAACACTATTCAACCAGACTTTTATTTAATGAAATTATTTTTTTCAGAATGTGATTTTTTTGGAACAATAATACCATTGAATATTTTTATCAGGAAATTATTTTCTCGAAAACCGTTTACAAAGGATTGGTGTATAATAGAATTATACTACACAGAATCGTACGAATCGGGACAGTTTTTTAAAGTACGGTAAAAACAGAAAATTATTTTCAACGATTTGTAATTAACAATAAAGTATTTTACAGAATCGTACGAATCGGGAATCGGGATGATATTATGAAAAACACTATACCAATAAACCATGGTCACGAGCGCTTCCCCGCAGTAAGGCATTTGGCTGGCTTATCATAATATAATAACGTTATCATAGAGTTAATCTGCGACAACAGTTAAATTTTTTCTGATCCTATCCAAAAATAATAATTATAATAAAATTGGTTTTTTACGCTTAATTCAAGTATTTGAAAAAATTTCCGGAAACTTTAAAAGTTATGGCAATTCAAAGTTGTCAATATTAAAAAATATAGGTACTTTTGAATGGACGAGCGAGTGACCACGCTGGGAATAAATATACTTAGAAACAATATTGAGGAAAACCGAGGTTTACCTGAGGTAGTTCACACAGCAAATAGGGGGATATTTTCGATTTGCGGAGCGTAGCGACGAGTGCCGATACACGCGTAATCGCTGCAACTTTGATATGCCATAACTTGTGAGAACAGTGAGTTTCCGGAAATTTTTGTAACTGGGAAACGGTGTAGCTGGTGGTACGCAAATTTAAAAAGTTTGAGAACCGCTGGTCTAAAGCCCTGTTCACACGATCAAATAAATAATAATTTGTCAAATATTTGACATTCGTTTAACTCCAAATATTTTAGAACCATTTCTAAAATATTTGAAGTTTGACATACATCAAATATTTGACAAATTATTTGATCGTGTGAACTTGGCTTAAAGAAACTAAAAATTATACAATACAAACTATTACAAATAATACATTTCTATGTATCAAAATTAGAAAATTCTGAATTTTACATATATTTATATATTTTTTAATTCTATGTTAACGTTATTATTTGATAATCCAGCCAAATGCCTTACTGCGGGGAAGCGCTCGTCCATGGTCGTAGTAAATAGGTTATTACCATAGACCCTATACCAATAACATATAAGGTCTATGGTTATTATACTGTTATAATTTATCAATTAGTGATAAAAATTACTGGTTTGAATCACGATTAAAGATAGTATTTTAATTTTTTACTCAAGTTGAATGACTGACTACAAATATATTTCATACTTAATGCAATATAATTTTATATTAACCTATTACTGCTGTTGTCTTTAGGAAGTATTGTGGTACATTTTGGATGCCACAACATACTACATTTTTCAACTGGACTTATGGATAATTTTAAGTATCCATATTCATTTGATGGTACTGCACCCTTACACAACCTAATATTGTCAAATATTTTAATTATCTTCTCGACTTCAGTGTGATTGTCTATATTAATATTTGAATTAACCCCAATATCTGATAATTCTATTTTTTTGTCAAAAGCATATAGAAATAACTCGGACTCTGTAAATAGAAAATATTATAGATTTTGATTTCTATAGGTTTATAATATTAATAATTTATATTATATTTTGTATAAAATTTACCTTCATTTAAAACTAGTTGTTTTTCAATGCATCGCATTCGCATAACATTTTTTGTATAAGATCCCAACTTATGAAATGAAATTATAGTCTGCTTATAATTGTTTTTTAGTAGAGTATCATCGATATCACATTAATCAGATTAATTCACATCATTGTTAAACAATTCATTAAAACATTAATCAGAAATAAAAAAAAACAATAATGATATTAATAATACAAATTAAAACATTATTTAATTTTATAATAGGTACAGTACCTTTAATCTTTTAGGTATTGGGGACGTTAATTCTGTATTAAATAAAGGTGCATCTCTTTTTAGGTAGTTTGTTGTACCAGTATCATGAACTATTTTATTTTCCTGTGGTTTTATTGCTGTATAACAGTGATCGTTGTTTATCGAAGATAGTAAATCATTATGTACATTTCCACAGCTAGTAACACAATCGTTATTAGTCTTGTCATTCTTAAAAAAATATATAAATATTAAGTCAATGACTAACAGGTATTATTTAAATTACAGTGTATTCATATGATATTGGCTATATTTACTACACTTATTGATCCATTTTTAACTGGTATAGGAATGGCACCATTACGCAGCTTAGCTCTTTTTAAACATTAAATTATCACTTATATTTAAATTAATTTACAAAGTTAAAAGATTTTTTTTGTTTTTGTTCATTTGTTATCTACATTAAAACCTTTTAGATTCTAAGCTGAGTGATAAATGTATTTATTTTACAGTGAAGTGTTTTTTTTTTTTGTAACTGATGACGCTTTTTATATCAGAAAAAAGTGCTTCAATACTCAACTTAAATATATTTTCTGGTAGGAATATAAATCTATTTGGTATGTGATCGAAACTAAAAAATGAACAATACCTTTCAATAATTGGGAAAATAAAAAATAATTAATGAACAACTAGAATACGCAATACCAAAATCGATTTTTTTATTTTGTTTAAAAATTTAATTTCTAATAAACTTAATTAGGTATATAAATAAAAAAAAAAAATTTAATATTTTAGATTCTGAGTGGAACGATGAATGACGTATTGATTGTACAATGATGTGTGTTTTTATATTTTTTTATTTTTTTATTTTTGTGTCTGTGTACACGATAAGTAGTCGAAATAATGCTTCAATTTTCGACTTCAGTATCTTGTTCGATTGGAAAGTGAATATCGTTGGTGCATTGGGGAGGTCAAAATTTAAAATTTTCAGTAATTTTCTTGAACTGTTTAGGGACATTTTCATTTTTCATTTTTTTTTAGTTTTTTTTCTAGAAATATCAATACAATTTTATTTGTTTGTTAAAAAAGCTTGAAAATTTAATAGAAGGCTCCAAGTATATTGTTTCAAAGGCAGATGAAAAATATTAAAAATCCTTAGTAACAGTTTTTTTTTATAAGCATTTAAAGTTCAAAAATTGACAAAATATGGAATAATCACGAAAATTAACAAATTATTTTGAGTTAAGAATTCGTAAAAATTTTTCTTTTTAAATCTAAGATTTGAAAATCGAATACAAGATTACTCATAAGTTTGTCTACCTTTATCAATAAAAAAAACCTCTACCGGAAAGTCAAATTAAATTTTTATGAGCGTTTGAAATTCAAATTTTTACAACATTGGATATTCACTTGATTTCTCATGTAGCGATTTCCTTATTTTGTTGTAATTAAAAAACGAATAACTATAGATACATGATAATTTCACTGAATGTTCAGATTAGCATTTCCTATACACTGTACAATTTTGAAAATATATCGACTCTTTTTGAGCTGTTTACGGACATTTTCAGTTTTCAATTTTTTTAGTTTTTTTTTTTCTATAAATATCAATTAAGTTTTATCTGTTGGCCAAAAAGCGTAAAAATGTAATACAAGGCTCCTGATTTATTGTTACAGTAGCAATTGAAAAATATTAAAAATACATAGGCACAATTTTTTTTATAAGCATTTAAAGATCGAATTTTGACAAAATTTATCAAAATCTCGAAAATTATCAATCATTGTAATTAATAAATTATAAAATGTTCAGTTTTTATAGCTAAGGATTGCAAATTTAAAACAAAGGTTCTCATAAATAGTTCATACTGTAACCAAAAAATCTAAAAAATATATGCACACAGTTATTTTTTACAGACATTTTAAATTCAAATTTGGACGAAATTAAATATTAAAATCAATATTAACTATTTTTGTTTTTGTTGTAATTTAAAAATATTATTCGGGGATATATGAAACTGAAAAATCAAAATATTATGGCCTATCCATACAATCTACCATAGTATAAGGAATAAGAAGTATGCTCAATGATAAGACTGTGCATATTTTAAGGAATTTATTCATAAATTCCATATAATTTAATACCATAGAAAAGTATATAATATGTGTTATACCAGACTGACATACCGTCTCCTCTCAGAATCGTTTTTCTCATACAAAGATATTATATCATTGAATTCAAATTTAATACAGTGACCCACTTGTAACCTACAGTACAGCAGAGCGACATCCACTTACCCACCTTTTAGATTCTGAGCAGAACGATTTTTTATTTTTTTTTGTATCTGTCATCACGTTTTAGGACAGTAAAAGTGCTTGGATTTTCTTCATCAGTAGCTTTTCTGATAGGAAAGTGAATCTAGTTGGTACTTTAGGGGGTCAAAAGTATAAATTTCCCAGTAGTTTTCACAAGCGCCGGGAAAAACGACATAAAAATTAAGGAAAAACGGGAATTTTTACGCAAAATTGGTTTTCCAAAAAATCGATTTTGGTTATTGGTGTAACTCTAAAACAAATGAACGTATATACATGAAATTTTCACTGGTTGTTTATATTTGCATTTTCTATACACGATAACATTTTCAAAATATTTTGATTTATTTTGAACTGTTTAGGGACATTTTCATTTTCCATTTTTTTTTAGTTTATTTCTAAAAATATTAATACAATTTTATTTGTTGGTTGCGAAAGCTTGAAAATTTAATAGAAGGCTCCTAATATATTGTTTCAAAGGCAGATGAAAAATATAAAAAATCCTTAGTCACAATTTTTTTTTATAAACATTTAAAGTTCAAAAATTGACAAAATATGGAAAAATCACGAAAATTAGCAAATTATTTTGAGTTAAGAATTCGTAAAAATTTTTCTTTTTAAATCTAAGATTTGAAAATGAAACACAAGATTCCTTATAAGGTTATCTACCTTTATCAAAAAAAAATGTCTATAAGAAAGTCGAATTACATTTTTATGAGCGTTTGAAATTCAAATTTTTACAACATTTTATATTCACTCGATTTCTCATGTAGCGATTTCCTTTTTTTGTTGTAACACAAAAACGAATAACTGTAAATTTAGGAAAATTTCACTGAATGTTTAAATTAGCATTTTCTATACACCATACAATTTTGAAAATATTTTGACTCTTTTTGAGCTGTTTATGGACATTTACAGCTTTCAATTTTTTAGTTTTTTTTTCTATAAATATCAATAAAGTTTTATCTGTTGGGCCAAAAAGTGTAAAAATTTAATACAAGGCTCCTGATATATTTTTACAATAGCAGTTGAAAATATTAAAAATACATAGGCACAGTTTTTTTTTATAAGCATTTAAAGATCAAATTTTGACAAAATTTATCAAAATCTCGAAAATTATCAATCATTGTAATTAATAAATTATAAAATGTTCAGTTTTTATAGCTAAGGATTGCAAATTCAACACAAAGGTTCTCGTAAATAGTTCATACTGTAACCAAAAAATCTAAAAAATATATGAACACAGTTATTTTTTACAGACATTTTAAATTCAAATTTGGACGAAATTACATATTAAAAAACCTAGAATAACTATTTTAGTTATTTTGTTGTGATTGAATAATATTATTCGTGGATACTTGAAACTTCTAAAGTGTACTATTATATATCTATGATAGTATCACGGTTTTTGTTGATGTATAACGCGTTATAAGTACCTAATGGATATTTTGATATGATTAATTTTGGAATTTATTATAGGTACCTACCTATTATAGGTCAAATTTTGGTTTAGTACCATAGATATGTATAATGTATCTAATATGTCTTATACCTAGACTGACATAGTGTCTCCGCTCAGAATCGTTTTTCTTATACAATGATATTATATCGTTGAATTCAAATTTAATATCATCCATTATACAGTGACCCACTTGTAACCTACTGTACAGCAGAGCGACACCCATTTGCCCACCTTTTTTAATGTTATTTTTTCTACGGCGTTTGCCGGTTCTGTGTTCACACTGCACCGGCACTGAACGTACCTAACCGGCACGATACGGACCGTCAAAACATTCTTTCGGATGATAGGTAGTCGGTCGGTCCGATCCGTGCTGTTACGTGACGGTGTGGTGTCGCCTGTATCAATGTGAATTACCTCATATAAACTAATAATGTAATATTTTGTCGTGCCGTTCGTGCTGTGACGGTCAGTGCCGTGCCGTAACAGTGTGAATCGGGCTTTATAGTGTTTAGTTATCCATAATTTAAAAAAAAAAAAAAAACACTTGAGAGTAAAAAATATTTGAAATTTCCTATACAAACTTTAAAGTTTTTCTCTTTTTATTTCTGAAGAAGCTCATCAATATATAATATAAATCAATAGTAATTTATCATTCAAATAAAATTATAATTTATATTATAGTCATAATAAATATACGTAAATAACAAAAGGTCGAGCTAAATTATTAATAATCTAAAAATGTTCGGATGCAAAGCCTTGGTTTTTATCAACATTTTTTTTCAAATACTATAGAAAAATATAAAATACCTATGTGGTCTTACAGAAACGTAACAATATGATTTAAGAAGAATTAAAAACGACAAAACATTATTCAGGAAATTAGGAAAATTTATTTGTGAATACAACACAGTGGGATTCAACATTCAAATAGCTAATAAGGGATAGGCCACTAAAACTCATAATTCTATTATTAGTTTTTATTATTATTTTAAACCATTCAAATAATTTTTAATAATAATTGTACCTATACAGATTATAA